ACCTGGACCACTTCAACGACGGTACCGGCCGGGTGTGCAAGCTGCTGAAGAGCCTCTACGGGCTGAAGCAGTCGCTGCTGTTGTGGTACAAGGCTCTCAACGACGTGCTGGTTGGCACCGGCTGGAAGAAGAGCCAGGTCGACCCGGCGCTCTACTTCAAGGTTGTCAACATCAAGGTGGCCTGCTGGGTGCTGGTCTACGTCGACGACTTGCTTGCCGCCAGCAGTAGTGCCGAGAATTTCGAAGGAGCTGCTGGAGGCCGCCTTTGAGCTGCGCGAGATCTCGCCGGTGCAGAAGTACCTCGGGCTGAAGTTCGTGCGCGACAGGCCGGCAAGGAAGCTGTGGTTGCACCAGCAGGGCTACGCCGACAAGCTGTGTAGGCGGTTCCTCAAAGAGGAGGAGACCAGGCGTACCCCGAAGACGCCAGTCTCGATTGGTGCCTACGCTGAGCAGACCTTCGACGAGAAGGAGGCTCTGGAGCGCCAGGAGGAGGAGTACCGGCAGAAGGTCGGCTAGCTGCAGTTTGCAGCGACAACGACGAGGCCGGACATTGCCTTCGCCTGTAGCAAACTGAGAAGCGGCCTCACGGTAAGGAGCGACCAGCACTGACGCAAGGTCGACCGCTGCCTCGCCTACCTCGCCAACACGTACGGCACCGCCCTGGAGTTCGGCGGTGGACCAGAGTCGCTGAAGCTGGTCGGCTACGTGGACGCTGACGATGCCAGCAACAAGAAGAACAGGATGAGCATGGGTGGCTACGTGTTCTTCTACGGAGGGGCCGCGGTCTCCTGGTCGAGCCAGTGCATCAAGTGCGCGACGCTGTCGTCGACCGAGTCGGAGTATGTGGCGGCCACTAAAACTGGCAAGGAGGGACGCCGCCTTCGCTTCCTTCTTGCAGAGTTCTGGTAGCTGGACGCTGGGACGCCGATGGTCCTTTGTGTGGACAACAAGTCGGCCATCACCGTTGCCGAGGGCATGGGGTTGATGGGCAAACTCAAGCACATGGAGCGGCGACAAGCCTGGTTGCAGCACATGGTGAAGCGCGGGAAGTTTCCGCTGAAGTACATCCCGGGGGTAAGTCTGCCCTTGGCTGTGATGCCCTAGAGGACAGGCAGTTTGAGCTAGAGTTCCTGGCAGCCGCTTCCCCTCATCTCTGTGCCATGCTGCTCGCTCCAGAGGGAGACCCCGACGCCCTTGACATACTGACTCCTCGCACTTATGCTGAGGCAGTGTCAGGGCCTTGGGCCTCTCAGTGGAGAGCTGCCATGGACTCAAAGATGGCCTCCTACAGATTCACAGGCACCTACGTCGACGAGGTCCCCCCCCCCTGGGGCGAACGTAGTTGATGGCATGTGGATCTTCAGGGTGAAGCGGCCACCGGGATCTCCTCCAGTCTTCAAGGCACGCTATATGGTAGAGGTTTCAGTCAGCGCGAGGGAGTTGACTGTTTTCAGACCTTTGCGCCTACTCCGAAGGTGACCACTGTTCGGGTGTTACTGCACGTAGCAGCACAGAGAGACTACGAGTTACAATCTCTCGACTTCTCCACTGGCTTCCTTCGGGTAGCCTACACGTAGAGGCCTGGTTGCGTCGTCCCTCTGCCTTCACTTGCACTTTTCCTCTTGGGACCCAGTGGAGGCTGAGGTGAGCGTTCTACGGTCTCTGTCAGGCTCCTCGTTTGTGGCACGACACCCTTCGTTCTACCCTGTCTGACCTCGGTTTCCAGCCGTCTTCTGCCGACCCGTCAATGTTTGTTTGTCGTGGCTCCACACCGTTCGTTGTACTAGTCTACGTCGATGACCTGGTTTTTGCCACTGCTGACAGGGTTGCTTTGGCTGACGTGAAGCGTGAGCTGCATAAGAGACGCACGTGCACTGACCTTGGTGAGGTGCACCACTACCTTGGCTTGCAGATCACTAGGGACAGAGCCGCTCGCACGATTATACTCTCAAAGTCACTCACGGTGTAGCAGGTCTTTCAGCGGTTTGAGCTTTAGCACTCCACAGTACAGCGCACGCCTCTTGCTGTTGACCACAGACTCACTGGTCCCTTTCCTGACAAGCCGTTTGAGCCTATTGGTCCCTACGCAGAGCTTGTGGGCTAAGTCATGTACCTGATGACTTGTATTCCCCCGTACCTCGCCTACCCTCTCAGTATCCTTGCTCGCTTTGTTGCGCCAGGGAGACTAGACCGCTGTTCACTAGACCGCTGCTGTGAGGGTGGCGAAGTACCTAGTGATGACATCGGGCATGGGGTTGTTGCTTGGAGGGACACAGCCGATCGTCCTTACTACTCACTGTGACTCTTCTTACACTGACGATGCCGAGACCCACAGGTCTACTCAGGGTTACTGTTTCAGCCTGGACTCTGGAGCTGTTTCGTGGAGGTCCACACGCTCCTCCTCGGTCTCGACCTCTACCGCTTAGGCTAAGATCTACGCTGGAGCCATGGCTGCACAGAAGCTGCGTTGGTTGACCTTCTTACTCACAGACCTTGGTGAGCGGCCGAGCTCTGCACCGACCTTGTTCATTGACAACAAGGCGGCAATTCTTCTCTCCCAGGAGCCTCGACTGGAGAGCAGAGTGAAGCACATCAACGTCAGGTACTTTCTTCTGCGAGATTTGCAAAGGCATGGACAGGCTCGCTTGGACTTTGTGGAGTCCGAGGCCAACAGTGCATACATCTTCACCAAGGCGCTTCCGCCTTGTGACCACGACAGATGCAGTTAGGTCTCGTTGACACTGGTTCTCGCCCTGTGTAGACGTTGCTTGTTTTTTTGTTGTACCCGTTGCTTATACACATGTGAATTCTTAAACTGGCCTTCTGGCCGTTCTGCTTGTGCTCGGAATGTGTGGTGACATTGAGATCCACCCTGAGCTTTGTTTCTTTATGACTGGTCTTGTGGCCGTACTCTTTTGGTTTTTGCTTGACACCCCTCATTTAGGCCATGGGGGTGTGTCAAATGTTGTAGCCTCTAGTGAGGCTTGTCTTATGAGGTACAAATGTTAGGGTTAGGAACATGTACCCCAACCCACATCAATGTACACACAATTCAGTTTCTGATATACTGACATACATACTAGTTCAGTACGTGAACAAGCCCAACTTTCATAAGACCACGTGCCTCACCTCCCGAATGTGCTTCATGTCGCCTTCAGGTTCGACAACCTCGAAAAGCACCCAACCATTGCAACCCCGAAGGTCCCGCATAGCTAACCCTTCGCTATGTCACTGGTATGTTCAGCCACGGCTATGTTCATATATTTTTGCGCCCCAACTCTGTAATTTTCAGAGATATTTCAAAGCTAACCCTGACGTTTCAGAGTTTTCCGAGAGTGTACTCTAATCATTCAGAGTACAAATGCGTACCGACTCCGTTTTCTGCTTGAGTTCTTGACGGGTGATCCGATTCGGACTTCACAGGTCACAACAAATTCGCACTATTAACACAAATTCGGCTTGAAAAACAAAAATCTGCGCCTTACAGCACAAGATTCTCGCCCAATCACAGCAAAATCGCCCTGACATCGCTTCCCCTCCGCTCGCTTCCCCTCTGCTCGCTTCCCCTCCGCTCGCTTCCCCTCCGCTCGCTTCCCCTCCGCTCCCTTCCCCTCCGCTCACTCTGCACAAAGCACCGCTCACACGAGCCTAATCTCTAGAAATCTCTGGTCCTGTGAAGGCAGTGGATGTGGACCAGATTGGAATCACCCTGTGTTTCGTCTTCTGCTTCTCTCTGCCTGCCCGCTTCACTTGTTGCACCTCTCCTCATAACCGCGTCTCGTCTCTCCACTTGATCCGCTTAAGGACTCCTTTGCTGATCTGTTTCGACTGCTTGCTGCCACAGCTACTTGCACAACTGTGTTGGTCCATTCCCACAGGCTTCCTTCCATCATGAGTATTACTCTCCTACCATGTGCCACCGCACTGCACCCCTTTCCACCTGCCAGGGCCACCTGCACACGTACCGGTTCTGTGAGAGCCTGTGGACGTTCATTCTGACGGATGCGGTGTTTCAGACGGACGGTGAGGTGTGTCAGAACATATAGCTTGTGCTTATTGTGTAGGCTATAGTGGCCCATAAGGGGTACAACCCAATTAGGGTTAGTACTTGTACTCAGTTCATTCATAGTTCAATCATTCTCGTTTCTTATCATGGTAACAGAGCAGGTTCCCTAGTGGGAACGCTACCTAGGGCCCACCACGATATATTTTTTTTCCTGCCCGGAGCGCGCCTTAGACTAGGCCGAGTCGCGCGCGCCCCGTGTGCCCTCCCTACCGTCGCGCCGTTTTTTGTGGCCCCTTGAGCTGCCCGTCGACCCCGCGCGCCGCCCTTGCGGCCTCGCCACCCTTACCTGCGGCCCCGCCGCCCTCACCTGCGGTCCCCGCCGCCCTTACCTGCGGTCCCCGCCGCCCTAAACTGCGGCCTCGCCGCTCTTACCTGCGGCCTCGCCGCCCTCACCTGCGGTCCCCGCCGCCCTCTCCTGCGGCCTCGCCGCCCTTACCTGCGGCCTCGCCGCCCTCACCCGCGGTCCCCGCCGCCCTCAACTGCGGCCTCGCCGCCCTTGCCTGCGGCCCAGCCGCCTTCCCTGCGGCCCCGTCACCTGCTGCAGCGCCGCCCGCCACCTGAGCCGCCCGGGCCGCCTCACCTCGCCAAACAGCCGACCGCCGCGCCGCCCTGCAGCTGCACGACCGAGCCGCCCAGCAGCTGAGCAGACGAGCAGCCGAACCGCCCAGCAACCGAGCAGCCGAGCCGCCCTGCCGCCGAGCCGCCCAGCGGCCGAGCCGCCCTGCAGCCGAGCCGCCCAGCAGCCGAGCCGCCCTGCAGCCAAGCCGCCCAGCAGCCGAGCCGCCCTGCAGCCGAGCCGCCCAGCAGCCGAGCCGCCGTGCAGCCGAGCCGCCGAGCCGCCCTACCTCCGAGCCGCCCGAGCAGCCCCGTCCGGTGAGCACAGTGCCTCTTTTCTTGCACTGCCCTCACTCTACTGTTGCACTGCTAGTCTACTATGGTCATGGCTACCCCTAGTGTCCTCGCTTTTGACGCTGAGGGTCGAGCCATTGACTTTGACGTCTGGGTAGATCACCTGCAGCTGTTTTTACAGTGTGATAGGGCAGACGGTCTCTCACTCTTTAACCTCACCTCTGGCGCCTCTCCTGCCCCTGCTGCTGATGCCGACGCCACTGTTCGCTCCCAGTGGGCCACGCGCGACGCTGCTGCACGTCTTGCTGTGCGTCGCCACCTTCCTACCTCCGAGCGCGCGCACTTTAGTCAGTACAAGAGTGCTCAGACCTTGTACGACGCTGTAGTTGCGCGCTACTCCTCCCCTGCCACTGCTGCACTGAGCTGTCTCATGCTACCGTACCTCTTCCCTGACCTTACTGCCTTTCCCATAGTCGCTGACCTCATTACGCACCTCAACTAGTGACACTCGCTACCTCGCTGCGCTTCCTGCTGACTTCTGCGCCAAGAACCCCCCCCCCCCCCATGTACATCACACTCTACTACATAGTCACTCGCCTCCCTGGCTCCCTTCGCGTAGTCAGGGACCACTTCCTCTCAGTCTGTCCCACCACTCTCACTGTTGACCTCCTCGAGAAGTCCCTCCTAGCGGCCGAGAAGAGCATAGTCGCTGTAGGGGCCTCTCGTGGTGACCCGCGCACCCCCATCTTTGAGGGGTGTTCCCCCTACCCCCTACTGCCCTCTGTTGCCTCTACTGCTGCGGCCGACCTCCTTGGTCTTGAGTCGGTCGGTGCGGCGTCTGCCCCTAGCGGGAGACGCCGCTCTGGCAAGGGCAAGGGGGGCAGGGGCGCTGGAGGGGCGAGCGGGGGCGTTGGAGGTGGAGGTGGAGGCGGCGGGGGGAGTGGGGGTGGCGTTGGGAGTGGTGGTGGGGATGGAGGTGTCGGTGGCGGCAGTGGAGGCGGAGGCGGCGGCGGCGGTGGCGGTGGGAGCTGAGGTGGCGGAGGTGGCGGCGGTGGAGGAGGCGGCGGAAGCGGCGGTAGTAGCGGAGGCGGCGGAGGCGGCAGGGGTGGCGGTGGAGCTGGTCGCGGGTCTACGCAGAGGAGTGGCTCCGGTGGTGGTCCGCGCCAGCAGCAGCAGCGCGATCGTGAGACCCTGTCCCCTCAGCAGCTCCGTGAGTGGTACACTGCACGCCAGCGGGGTGGGGGTTTTGGTCCGTGCACCTACGTCCTGCGCACCGGCGACCGTGCGGGTGAGCAGTGTGGGGGTGCGCACCCCACCCAGCGCTGCTTTGGTCGCCTGACGGACGCGTGGCGTCACCAGTTACCGGAGGCCATAGAGATCCCTCACTGGGGCGAGCTGTCAAGGGCGGGGGTTGCCATCTATGATCTTGATTTTGATGGTATTCTTTCTGCCATGTATGCTGTGTCTATTAGTGATGATGGTGACTGTTACCGGTGTTTCCTGCCCGATCCGGGCATTGAGACTGCTGCTCTAGGTACAGGTGAGGCGGCTGCCCTAGGTGCGTGTGACGCTGCTGCTCTAGGTGCTAGTGCGTCTGCGTCCTCAGGTACTGGTGAGTCTGCGCTCTCAGGTACTACGTCGGCTTCGGCCTCTCTCACCTTCACCCTTGACTCTGGGGCTTCTCGCTCCTTCTTTCGGGACCGCACCACACTCACGCCGCTTAGGCGGCCGGTTGCGGTGTCTCTGGCTGACCCCTCTGGGGGTCCTGTCCTGACTCACTTCTCCACGGTCCTCCCGTGTCCGGCGGCTCCCTCTGGCACCCTGTCTGGTCTCTACCTCCCCTCGTTCTCTACGAACCTGGTGAGTGGTGCTGACTTACAGGATGGGGGAGTACACCAGTTCACTCCTGCGCGTCAGCGGGTGACCCACTGCACAGAGGCTAGCACAGGCCGACACCTGGCTACGTTTACCCGTCAGCCGCGGTCGAGCCTGTACACACTGACCACTGCGTCTCCTCCAGTTATTGAGTCTGGTAGGGTCACTACGTCGGGTCAGGTGTTTGCTGCAGCGTCCAGGTCTGGTCCTGAGTCTGCCCCCTGTTCGTGTCGTCTCCTGTCTCACGAGACTCTCCTCTGGCACCATCGCCTTCGTCACCCCTCTCTGCTTCGGCTCAGAGGCATGGCCTCCCGTCTTCTTGTTTCTGGTCTCCCTCGGTCCCTCCCTCCCCTTCCTCAGGGCCCTGGCCCTACCTGTGTCCCCTGTGTCGAGGGGCGCCAGCGGGCTGCCCCTCACTCCTCCCAGTTTCCTCCGACAGAGGCCCCATTTCAGACGCTTCACATGGACGTGTGGGGCCCAGCCTGCGTCCGTGGACAGGGTCACGAGCGCTACTTCCTACTCTTCCCCTTGCGCAGCAAGGGTGATGTCACTGAGGTGCTGATCGACTGGATCCGCGCAACTCGTCTCAAGCTCAAGCAGAGCTTTGGCTCGGACTTTCCTGGTCTGCGTCTGCACTCGGACAGAGGCGGAGAGTTTTCTTCTGGCCTTCTGAGAGCCTACTGTCGCGCACGAGGAATCGGTCAGACCTTCACGCTTCCGAACTCCCCGCAGCAAAATGGGATTGCTGAGCGCCGCATTGGCATGGTCATGGACGTCGCTCGAACGTCTATGATGCATGCGGCTGCTCCCCATTTTCTGTGGCCGTTTGCGGTGCGGTACGCGGCGCATCAGATCAACCTACACCCCAGGGTCTCCAGGCCGGAGACCTTCCCAGCCTTGCTGTGGACCTGGAAGGTTGGCGATGCGTCGGCGTTCCGGGTCTGGGGATCTCGGGCGTTTGTCCGCGACTTGTCTGCGGACAAGCTGTCCCCTCGTGCTACTCCTTGCATCTTCCTGGGGTTCCCCCCTGACGGGCCTGGGTGGCAGTTCTACCACCCCACCTCTCGCCGTGTTCTGTCCTCCCAGGACGTCACGTTTGACGAGTCGGTCCCCTACTACCGCCTCTTCCCCTACCGCACTCCGTCCCTCCCCCCGCCGCCGCTCTTCCTTGTACCAGGTCCCCCTCCGATAGACCCCCTCCCCCCTCAGGGTCCGTCCCCTTCAGGTGTGTCCCAGGTAGACGCACTCGAGCCTATCGAGGTCACTTGTGACTCTGGTGCTGCTGAGGGTGCTGAGCCTGGGGGTGCTGCGATTGGGGGTGCTGAGCCTGAGGGTGCTGAGCCTAGGGGTGCTGAGCCTGGGGGTGCTGAGCCTGGGGGTGCTGAGTCTGAGGGCGCTGCGCCTGGGGGTGCTGAGCCTGGGGGTGCTGAGCCTGGGGGTGCTAAGCCTGGGGGTGCTGAGCTTGGAGGTGCTCCGCCTGGGGGTTCTCCGGGTGCTTCGTCTCTGCGGGAGCCACTCTCTCCACGGGAGCTGCGCGAGTGGTTTGCCCGGCGCTGGAGGCGTGCTGCTGGTGCTGGAGGTTCTTCGGCTACTGAGGGTGCTGCTGTCGCGGGTCCCGGAGGTGCTCGTACTGGGAGTACTGGAGCTGCTGGGCCTGCGGGTTCGACTGGAGCTGGTGCTGCTGAGGGTGTTGGAGCTGAGACTACTACTGGCGGTCCTGCTGCGGGTACTCTTGGTACTGCTGGAGGTTCTAGCGCTACTGGAGGTGCAGCTGGAGCAGGTGCTCCTGCTGGGGGTACTGGTGCTGTCCCTGCTGTGTCTGGCGTCGCCGCGCGGCCTCGACTGTACTTCGTTCCACTCCTGCAGCAGGTTCTTGGTCTTTCGCCTTCTACTGGTCCTCCTCCTTCTTTAGCGTGTCCACAGCCAGTCCCGTCACAGTTACAGTTGCAGCCTACCTCCTCTTTGCCTGCTCCTTCTCCCTACAATGGTCCTACTAGAGGTCTTACAGAGCGTCGTAATCCTGCGTCTCACCCTGCGTCGCCTGTCCGTGCTGCTCGTGCTAGTGGTTGTGGTTCGCGTCAGCGTCCTCCTCCTGTCCCTGGCACGCACAGGATGTCTCTGCGTCCGTCCACTGCTCCTCTGCGTGCCCCTCTGCCTTGTCCTCCTGAGTCCTCTCTTCCTGCTTTTGCGGACCCGGAGTCGGACTCTCTTCGTGCTGCCAGTCCTACTGTCACGCGTCTCCTGGCTACTGTAGTCACTGACCCTTCCTTCGAGTCCACTGCTGCGTCTGCCTTAGTTGCTGAGGTCGTCGACTTTGCTGCTCGCTGTCGCCTAGACTATGCTGCTAGTCTTGTCGCTGAGTCTGAGTCTGTCTGTCCTCCGTCCGTCGGGGGTGAGTGTGCCCTTGGCACGGACGTCCTTGAGGACAGACAGGAGGAGTTCCAGTGTCTGGCTGCTGCTTTACCTCATCTCGTGTCCGTACTGCTTACCCCTGAGGGAGACCGGGATGCACTTGACATCCCGACTCCGCGCTCTTACGTGGAGGCGATAGAGGGTCCCTACTCCTCTTAGTGGCAGGCAGCTATGGATGCAGAGATGGCTTCCTTGAAGTCCACAGGCACCTACGTTGACGCTGTCCCCACTCCTGGGGCGAACATCGTCAGTGGCATGTGGATCTTCAGGGTGAAGCGGCCGTCGGGTTCTCCGCCTGTCTTCAAGACGCGTTACGTGGCTCGTGGCTTCAGTCAGCGGCAGGGAGTTGACTACTTTCAGACCTTCTCTCCCACCCCGAAGATGACCACTCTTCGGGTACTGCTGCACGTTGCTGCTCACCGTGACTACGAGCTGCACTCTCTTGACTTCAGCACAGCTTTCTTGCAGGGCAGCCTGCACGAGGAGATCTGGCTGCGCCGCCCACCTCGCTTCACTGGGTCTTTCCCTCCTGGTACCCAGTGGAGTCTCCGGCGTCCAGTCTACGGTCTCCGCCAGGCGCCATGTGAGTGGCACGACACACTGAGGACTACGCTTGCGGCACTTGGGTTTGCTCCTTCTATTGCCGACCCGTCGCTGTTTCTGCGCACGGACACCTCTCTGCCGCCGTTCTACATTCTCGTGTACGTCGACGACTTGGTCTTTGCCACAGCTGACACTGCTGGACTCGCCTACGTGAAGTCCGAGCCGCAGAAGAGACACACGTGCACAGACCTGGGTGAACTGCGCAGCTACCTTGGCTTGCAGATCACCCGGGACAGAGCACAGCGCACCATTACTCTGACTCAGTCACACATGGTGCAGCAGGTCCTTCAGCGCTTCGGCTTCACGTACTCCTCGCCTCAGGCCACTCCTCTGCCTACTCGCCACTCGCTCTCAGCTCTGCCTTCGGATGAGTCCGTAGAGTCGAGTGGCCCGTATCGAGAGCTTGTTGGCTGCCTCATGTACCTGATGACCTGCACACGACCTGACCTTGCATACCCTCTTAGCATTCTCGCACGGTATGTTGCTTCTGGTAGACACCGACCAGAGCACATGGCTGCAGCGAAGAGGGTGTTGCGCTACTTGTGCAGTACGTCAGGCATGGGGCTAGTGCTTGGAGGGCGGAGTCCAGTGGTCCTCACTGGGCACGCGGACGCTTCTTGGGCTGACGACCAGGCTACGCAGCGGTCTTCACAGGGCTACACCTTCAGCCTTGGTTCCGGCTCTGTTTCGTGGTGGGCTACTCGCTTGTCTTCTGTTCTCGGCTCCAATTGTGAGGCTGAGATCTACGCCAGGGCCATGGCTGCACATGAGCTTCGCTGGCTCACCTACCTGCTGACCGACCTTGGAGAGTAGCCTCGTTCTCCTCCAGTCGTGTACGTAGACAACAAGGCCATGCTGGCCTTGTGTCGAGAGCAGAGACTGGAGCACATAACAAAGCACATTGCTCTTCGCTACTTTCTTGCTCGTGAGCTGCAGCAGCGTGGTCAGCTGCGTCTTGCGTACGTGGCCTCTGAGGCCAACACTGCTGATATCTTCACCAAGGCACTTGCGCCTTGTGATCATCAGCGCTTCTGCACTCAGCTGGGTCTTGTGGCTGTCTTGCCTCACTTGCTCACCTCTTGACCTTGCTTGTACTGTTACATATATATACACCTGCTCTTGCTTGTCTAGTCCTTTATATATATGTACTCCTGCATGTGAACTGGCCTTGTGGCCTTGAACTTGTGCTCGGAATGTGTGGTGACTTTGTGATCCACCCTGAGCTTGCTTTGCTTTGCTTTGCTTGACTGGTCCTGTGACCCCTTGTTCTCCCTGTCAGATTATTATAGCTGATGCATGTTTGTAGGCTATAGTGGAGTAGCACATATGGGGTACAGTTTGCTAGGTTTGTATTTGTACCCAACTCTGACTTAGTCAATTCATTCCTGTTCAGTTAGTTTCACATGGTATAGAGCGGGTCCCTCCTAAGGACCGTTCTTTGGGACCACCCACGATTTTTTTTCCTGCCCGGAGCGCGCCCTATTCTCCCCGAGGCGCGCTCCCCCTAGTGCGCGTCGAGCTGCCCTTGTGGCGCCCCGAGAGTCGCGCGCGCGACTCAATTTTTTTTTTTTCGCGCGCGCGGCCCAGGCCCCACTTCGCGCGGCCCTTACAGCCGCGCCGCGCCGCCCTCTCGGCTCTGCCGCGCCGCGCCGCCCTCAAGACGGCCGCGCGGCCTCTTCGTCGCTACAGCAGGCCCCCCCCGCTGCACCTCTGTCGGCCCCGCAGCCGCCTTACCTGACGGCCGCCGCCTCACCTGACGGCCCGCCGCCTCGACTTCTGGCCCGCCACCTCACCAGACGGCCCCCCCCGCCTCACCTGACGGCCCACCGTCTCACCTGCTGGCCCGCCACCTTACCTGACGGCCCCGCCGCCTTACCTGACGGCCCGCCGCCACCTTACCTGACGGCCCCGCCGCCTCACCTGACGGCCCGCCGCCTCACCTACTGGCCCGCCACCTGACCTGACGGCCCCGCCGCCTCACCTGACGGCCCGCCGCCTCACCTGCTGGCCCGCCACCTCACCTGACGGCCCGCCGCCTCACCCGCTGGCCCGCCACCTGACCTGACGGCCCCGCCGCCTCACCTGCTGGCCCGCCACCTGACCTGACGGCCCCGCCGCCTCACCTGACGGCTCGCCACCTCGCCTGCTGGCCCGCCACCTGACGGCTCCGCCGTCCCCTGTCCCGGCCCCGCCACTGCACCCTGACGGCCCCGCCGTCCCCTGCCCCGGCCCCGCCGCTGCACCCTGACGGCCCCGCCGTCTCCTGTCCCGGCCCCGCAGCTGCACCCTGACGGCCCCGCCGAGCCGCCCAGCAGCAGCTGAGCCGCCCAGCAGCAGCCGCGCCGCCCAGCAGCAGCCGAGCCGCCCAGCAGCAGCCGAGCCGCCCAGCAGCAGCCGCGCCGCCCAGCAGCAGCCGAGCCGCCCTGCAGCAGCCGAGCCGCCCACCAGCAGCCGAGCCGACCAGCAGCAGCCGAACCGCCCGGTACTCGAGCTACCCGAGCCGCCCGAGCCGCCCGAGCCGCCCGAGCCGCCCGAGCCGCCCGACCCAGCCCGAGCTGCCTGCTGCTGTCCTACCCGACTCTCCTAGCCCGGTGAGACTTTCAGCTGCTGCCATGGCCACCCCCAATGTTCTTACTTTTGACGCTGAGGGGAGGGCCATTGACTTTGCCGTCTGGATTGAAGACCTGCAGCTGTACTTACTGTGTGATGCGATAGATGAGGTCTCTCTCTTTGACTTTGTCTCTGGCGCTGTCCCTGCCCCGCCTGCTGATGCTGACTCTGCTGCTCGCTCCAAGTGGGCGACCCGCGATGCTGCTGCACGTCTTGCTGTGCGTCGCCACCTCCCTTCCTCTGAGCGTGCCCACTTTAGTCAGTGCAAGACCGCTCAGGCCTTGTACGACGCTGTAGTTGCACGCTACTCCTCCCCTTCCTCCGCTACCCTTAGCCGCCTCATGCTACCGTTTCTCTTCCCTGACCTCGCTTCCTTTCCCACTGTTGCTGACCTAGTTACCCACCTCCGCGCTAGTGACACCCGCTACCGTGCTGCCCTTCCTGCTGAGTTCCGCGCTGCGAACCCTCCTCCCATGTACATCACTCTCTACTTTCTCGTCACCCGTCTCCCTGAGTCCCTTCGTGTCGTTAGGGACCAGTTTCTCTCTGTCTGTCCCACCACTCTCACTGTCGACCTCCTTGAGGAGTCCCTGCTAGCGGCTGAGAAGAGTATTGTCGCTGTAGGGGCCTCTCGGGGTGACCCTCGCACCCCCATCTTTGAGGGGTGTGGTCCTTCCCCCCTGCTGCCCTCTGTCGCCTCTGCCGCTGCGGCCGACCTCGCTGGTTTTGAGTCGGTCGGCGCGGCGTCTGCCCCCAGCGGCAGACGCCGCTCTGGCAAGGGCAAGGGGGGCAAGGGGGCGGGTGGAGCTAGAGGGGGCGGTGGAGGAGGCGGTGGGGGTGGAGGGGGGAGTGGGAGTGGCGGTGGGGGTGGTGGCGGGAGTGGAGGTACTAGTGGCGGCGGTGGAGGCGGAGGTGGCGGCGGAGGTGGTAGCGGAGGAGGCGGTGGGAGCGGTGGGAGCGACGGTCCTGGTGGGGGAGGTGGCGGTGGAGACGGGGGTGGCGGTGGAGGCGGGGGTGGCGGTGGAGGCGGGGGTCGGAGTGGCTCGTCCCAGCGGAGCAGCTCTGGGGGTGGTCAGCGCCAGCAGCAGCAGCAGCAGCAGCAGCAGCAGCAGCAGCAGCAGCAGCAGCAGCAGCCGCAGCAGCAGCAGCGCTCTCGCACCGTCCCCGGCCCTCAGCAGCTCCGTGAGTGGTACTTGCAGCGTCAGCGCGGTGGTGCACTTGGTCCCTGCCCCTACATTCTTCGCACCGGTGACCGTGCGGGGGAGAGGTGTGGGGGCGCCCACACAGCCCGTCGCTGCTTTGGCCGCCTGACCGACGCCTGGCGTCAGCAGTTTCCGGAGGCCGCTGAGATCCCCCGCTGGGGAGAGCTGTCTAGGGCTGGAGTAGCTATTTATGATCTTGACTTTGATGCTATTCTCTCTGCTATGTATGCTGTGACTGGTAGTGATGAGGATGACTGTTACCGGTGTTTCCCGCCCGACCCGGGCATTGGTACTGCCGCGTCAGGTACTAGTGAGGCTGCAGCTCTAGGTGCCAGTGCGTCTGTGCTCTCAGGTGCTGGTGAGTCCGCCCTCTCAGGTACTGTGTCGGCTTCGGCCTCTCACACCTTCACCCTTGACTCTGGAGCGTCTCGCTCCTTCTTTAGGGACCGCACCACTCTCACGCCGCTGAGTCGGCCGGTTGCGGTGTCCCTGGCTGACCCCTCTGGGGGACCTGTCCTGTCTCGCTTCTCCACTGTCCTCCCGTGTCCAGCGGCCCCCTCTGGCACCCTGACTGGTCTCTACCTCCCCTCGTTCTCGACGAACTTGGTGAGTGGTGCTGACCTCCAGGATGCAGGTGTCCACCAGTTCACCCCTGCTCGTCAGCGGGTGACCCACTGTACCGAGGCGGATACAGGTCGTCACCTGGCTACGTTTACACGTCGGCCAGGGTCGAGCCTGTACACACTGACCACTGCTTCTCCTCCAGGTGCTGCGTCTGGTAGAGTCCCTTCGTCTGGTCAGGTGTTTGCTGCAGCGTCCAGGTCTGGTCCTGAGTCTGCCCCCTGTTCGTGTCGTCGTCTGTCTCACGAGACCCTCCTCTGGCACCACCGCCTTGGCCACCCCTCTCTGCTTCGGCTCAGAGGCATGGCCTCGCGGGTCCTTGTGTCTGGTCTTCCCCGGTCCCTCCCTCCCCTTCCTCCGGGCCCTGGCCCTGCCTGTGTCCCCTGTGTCGAGGGGCGCCAGCGTGCTGCCCCTCACTCCTTCCAGTTTCCTCCGACAGAGGCCCCGTTGCAGACGCTTCACATGGACGTGTGGGGCCCAGCCCGCGTCCGTGGACAGGGTCAGGAGCGCTACTTCCTGCTGGTGGTTGACGACTACTCGCGTTACACCACAGTCTTCCCCTTGCACAGCAAGGGTGAGGTCACTGCGGTGTTGATCGACTGGATCCGCGCAGCTCGTCTTCAGCTTCGGAGGAGCTTTGGCTCTGACTTCCCTGTTTTGCGTCTGCACTCGGACAGAGGCGGAGAGTTCTCCTCTGGCCTCCTGAGTGCCTACTGTCGTGTGCGAGGCATCCGTCAGACCTTCACGCTTCCGGACTCACCACAGCAGAATGGGATTGCTGAGCGCCGCATTGGCATGGTCATGGACGTCGCTCGTACGTCCATGATGCATGCGGCTGCTCCCCATTTTCTGTGGCCGTTTGCGGTCAGGTACGCTGCGCACCAGATCAACCTCCACCCCAGGGTCTCTCGACCAGAGACCTCCCCAGCCCTGCTGTGGACGGGGAAGGTTGGCGATGCGTCGGCGTTCCGGGTCTGGGGATCTCGGGCGTTTGTTCGCGACCTGTCTGCGGACAAGCTGTCCCCTCGTGCTTCTCCCTGCGTCTTCCTGGGGTTCCCCCCCGACGCCCCTGGGTGGCAGTTTTACCACCCCACCTCTCGACGTGTTCTGTCCTCCCAGGACGTCACGTTCGACGAGTCGGTACCCTACTACCGCCTCTTCCCCTACCGCACTCCGTCCCTCCCCCCGCCCCCGCTCTTCTTGGTACCAGGCCCCCCCCCGGTCGTCCCCCTCCCCCCTCAGGGTCCTGCCCCTTCAGGTGTGTCCCAGGTAGACGCGGTCGAGCCTGTCGAGGTCACTGGTGACTCTGGTGCTGCTGCGGGAGCTGTGCCTGGGGGTGCTGAGCCTGGAGGTGTCGAGCCTGGGGGTGCTGTTCCTGGG